CCGAGGAAACCAAACCGATGAACTCCCTAGTGAGAATATCCGCAACATGATCTTGAGGTCGAGTATACTTCACTTAAACACTTGAACTTCCTTCTGATCAATGCATTCATAGATGAAATGATAACAAGTATCAATATATTTACTTCAGTCATGAAAGACGGGGTTCTTGGCAAGAGCTGTGGTTGACTTGTTATCATTATATACATCTGTTGCTTCGACTTGTGGCATGTATAGCTCTTTTAGTAAGCTCCTTAGCCAAATAGCATGGCAAACATAAATTGTAGTTGCAACATACTCAACTTCGCAAGTTGAAAGTATGATTATTGATTGCTTATTCGAACTCCAAGTAAAAGCCTTATCACCCATATAAAGTACAAATCTGGAGGTGCTTTTACGATCATCAATATCACTAGTCCCTCTATATCCATGCAACTTGAAATTGATTGCTTATTCGAACTCCAAGTAAAAGCCTTATCACCCATATAAAGTACAAATCTGGAGGTGCTTTTACGATCATCAATATCACTAGTCCCTCTATATCCATGCAACTTGAAATCATGAGAATGTGAGTGAAGTTATCCAAAATTAATCGTACTTTTGAACAACAGAGGACTCTCTTAGTCGTCTTAAAGTGCATTATTGTTGCAACTTCCGTATATCGACTAATTAGTCTAATGCAAAAAAAAGTTAGTCATCATAGATGTCAAGTACCTCAAGCTTCCAACTAAGCTTTTGAAATAAGATGGATCAGCTTTTTTTTTTCTTTCACAAATTTGGATAATTTGGTTCCGTACTCAATCGACTTACACCCACTTATCTTAAACTGCTCAAGAATTTTTCATGCACTCCCCTCCTGGGATATAAAGATCCCATCTTCGCTTTGTTTTACTTCTATTCCTGTTGAAGTTTATTCCTTCAACCTTTGGGTTCAACACGTAAGCCCAAAGATTTCGAGTGGAGTGGTGTATTTGTGTGAATAAACTAGCTCAACAGCAACTAAGATGGATTAAGAGGTAATAATGATAAGCAAGTAAGAGATCAGGTATTATTAATCAGTTAATAACTCCCCAATACAATACGCTTGCTAAGGCTCGTCGGCCGTTCGTCTAACAAGGCAGTAGAAGAGCTGCGAGTAAGTTCAATATAAGCTAGAGTGCTAGGAATAGAAAGTTGTCAACCCTTTACAATGAAATAAATGCTACTATTTATACTACCAATGGGCAGTTGGCTATGCTGACGTGGAAGGCTGTGTGTGGCTGGTGTACCAACCACCAAATCTCCAGCATTAAATGCGCTTCCCGCCAGAATCTGGATTTCCCACCTAACCCGTGGAGACGTACGTCCAGCCGGGATAAGGGCCTGCTCCGGATGATACTGCAAAGGGTAATGGGCCGTTCGTATCCTGGTCCTTAGAGGATTTGTCACATGGATTGGACTGGCTCCAAGTGGTAGTGGCTTCTGGAGGCGACGTTCGTCGCCGCTGTGACGGTCTGTGGGTTTGATCCGCTTGCCTTCGTACGGACGTTCGTCGGGTAGGCTGCCCCGTAGGATAGACGTTCGTCTGGATTGGGGGGGTGAATGGGCCGGCCCTTTACTTGGGCCATTAACCCAACAATTCCAATATAGTATTCCGTCAGACCAATATCTTCATCTCAAATTCTGGCCCATAGCTTTCTTAACCTCATCAAACAAACATGAATGATTTCCTGTAGATATCAAATCGTCGACATACAAACATATGATCAACACATCAACTTACCCATTTATATATATATATATATATATATATGTTATGTTAATTAATGTGTGCACTTAATAAAGTTATTTTCTCAGAAATATTTATGTATTCTACTATTCCATGCATGAGGTGCTTTCCTTAAACCATAAAGTTCACTTTTTGACCATACAACTTTATTTTCGTGCCCTTTAATTCTATATCCCTTTAATGGGCGAGCAGAACGAGAGTGTTTATAAGTTTTAGAAGTGGCCAGAGCACTATGCTTTCATGCTCATCTTCCTATTCCATTTTGGGGGTTGTGTATTCAATGCATCCTATTTAATCAACTGATTATCCTCACCGATCAACGTATATTCCTTCATCTGGACTCTAGTTGCTTATTCCTCTTACGAGCCCATATTTTGGACCTTCCACTTTATTATTCCGCATTGGGCCAGACCTAGCATTCCCTTTGCACCTCCTCCCTTTTGTATCATTTCTTTTTAATCTATTGAATTTTGGTAAATGTTCCCCGACATTTACCACACCACTCAGGGTGGTTCTCGAGATCAAAAAAGGAAAAACACCCTCATACCAACATTTGTGAGTCTTCTTGTAAATGTACACTGCACATTCTAAGAAATGAGGTAGTGACAAATTTGGGATACAAGGCAAAAGAATGTGTGCTTCTACTGAAAAGGGTGTAATTTATTTGATATTGAAAGGGAGTAGTGTCTTATTTTGTGAGATGTGCATTCTCTTGAGACTCGTTTTCCCTATGCTAAGCCAATCAGGAAACCACTAACCACGACTACCGGTCTAGTTTGGCCTCAATACATGCAATGAACGAATGATGTAGGCAAAGTGAAAGATATGGTTCCATCTATCAAAGAATTTCCTGATACACGCACCGCGTCAATGACTATTGGTATGGGAACACTACCATGCAACACTAATATTCTAGGCAACTGTTCTCTAATGGAAGAACATTTCCCCAGACGCATAGAACATCTATGGTGCATGCTTATATTATGTGGAATAAGGACTACACTAGTTAGACTCAATATTGTGAAAGGTACGTACTCCTCCCGACATTTCTCTTAAAACGACCGATTCAGCTAGTCAGTATTTGTAATCTTGTTAGGTAAATTATGATCATTTTTCAATTTATTACAAGTCTTTCGTTGCCACACTATTCGCGAGCACCAACCCAACCACATATCAAGATGGGATTCTTGACCCTCGCTAGAGGGACAAGATGAAAAATGAGATTGAGGCATTATAACACAACGGGACGTGGCAAATCCAGACATTACTGTAAGGAATAAATTGTATTTAGATTTTGATGATGATGAATAAATTAGGAAGTTAGAGTACCTCTGTAGATAAACTGTACTGTTGTAAGTATTAGATAGTCGACTGCCAGAACAATGCTTTTCTGCTTTCTGGAAATGCTAAGGCAAGTCTATTGTGAACAAGCTGTACCTTGGAAATCTTATGATGACTATTATTTAGTCACATTACGATAGGGTAATAATATATTATGTGTTCTTGTATGTGTGGATGATCTTCTTATTGCAGAAAAAATTCAACCTTAATCTCAAATTTTGAACTCTACCAATCACAAAAGTTCCCTATCAATGATCTGGGCATGGTGAAATATTTTTTGGGACTAGAAATTGCTTGTAACATTTACGGTATCTTATTATATGAATGTTAATATGTACTTGACGTTCTTGCGTAAACATGACGAACAAGATCTCAACCGGTTGAATTTCTAGGGGTACAAAATCACCCTCTCCAAGTGGTTTGTGGACCACTCTTCTCATATCCCAATCACTATTGACATCTTGTTGGAAAACTAATTTATCTCACACTCGGTCAGAAATTAATTGTTCTATTCATATTTTGTCCCAATTTATGCTGGCGCCTCACGTGGCGCTTTGAGAGGTGGTAGTTCGGTTACTTCATTATCTAAAAGAGCATCCTGGTCAAGGCATTCTTCTACAGAAGTGGTTCAAACCTTATGCTCTCTAGTTACTATGGTTCTCATTGGGTCAGTTGTCCTTTGACCCGACATTCTAGTACAGGGTATTACGTATCAGTAGGTGGCTGCCCCGTTTATTGAAGCACCAAGAAACAAGTTATATTTTTTCCATCTTCAGGACTAGCGGAATTCGATTCATGGCTACTCTTACTTATGTGCTTCTTTGGTTCAAAGTGTACTCTTCTCCTTAGAAATATTGCACTCTCATCTCGATTTCTCTTTATTGTGACAACCAAACAACTTTTCAAATTGCCTCTAATATAATCCCTTTTCATGAACGGGCAAAACACATCGAAATTGATTTCCAATTTCTCCGTGATAATGTACAAAGACAAGTAGCTAACATTTTCACCAAGGCACTCAGAACTGCTAAATTTTCTCTGCTCCCCAAGATAAGTGTTCTAGACCCACACGCTCCATCTTTAGGGGATGCAGACAATTATTTTGCCATTAATAATTAAATTTCTCTCCTTCATTTTTGGCACAGTTAATATGTTAGAATATCATCCAAGTTTGCTGTTTTCCTTTTTGGTTCTAGACTTTATTGTCATTGGTTCAACAATTTTGTAGGAGCGCATTTAGGCAAGTTTATTTGTTTCCTAGTCAAAGATTGTGTACGTGTATACATACAGTCAAAGGCAGATTATAGAGCACATAAATAACAATATAATTAAGAATACACATATACTTCCATTTCTTTAAAGTGATTTTTATTAAGATTCTATGCTTTCGTCCTCTAATATTAACATGATGTGAGGAGGATCAATGTCGTTAGTGTTAATCCGTATCTTTATATTTGGCTAGTATGAGATGGATGGTTGAACACCAAATTAAGTAAGATTGTGGAGATTTAGATGAGCTCAAATTGAACTTGAAATTTGATTGGGAATGCTCACAGGCTTAGTAGGATTATCAGCTCACATGTATGAGCTCTACTAAATATCATATGAGTTGAAAATCTATATTGAAAGTTGAACATAAGGGAGAGTATATATCTCGCTCAATGCTTCGCTAGGGTTTGAGTTTATGTGTATGCTTGAGTAGAACTAATGTGCATGGCCTCGAACCATGGGTGTATATCTTTGTATGTAGGGTATATCAAAAAACATATAGACATGTGCAAGAGGAATATGTGAGAACAGAAAAAACTACTTGTGTAAAAAAAAGAGTTGAGCTAGCTAGCAGATATATAAAGTAATTTATTTAATTGAAAAGGAAAGGCTGTAAAAGACTGACCAAGCAGGCGTTCGGCGTTTTTTCTTTGACGTGACAGTCTCTCCAGCGTACAAGTCTGAGTTAAGAGTGTATTTGTAAGTGGGAGCAAACAATATTTTTCCTTCTTTCCAACCCCTGAACACTCTTCCCGCCTTTCTCTCCATATTTAACTGCACTCTCATATCATTGAAATGATTAATGTGTGTAGTGAGTGTAGTTTATTAATTTATCAAGATTTAATATATACACACACACACACACACATATATATATATTAAACCCCAATTAATATCCTACTTAGGTACGTTAAAAGACCGACTAATATAATAAAATATTGTACATATATATAACCTGATCTTTTTCCAATAGAAAGTCCCAATCATTGTCCTCTAACATCGACCTTGTCTCCTCATAGCTAAGAGAAATTCGGTAGTTCAAGTCTCCCATCCATATTATATGGCTGCAATATATATATATATATATATATATATATATATATATATATATATATATATATATATATATATATCATCGAAAATAAACTTATTTTTATTTTAGTGTTATGGGCCTAATTAATATGCATCTAAGTTGTTGTTGGGAAGGGCCCAAGTGGTAGAAAGTGTAGAATAAATAAATTTTAAAACTTCTTTAAAAGGTGAGGTCTCTAGAATTCTCCTATTATTAGTTTTATTCATTAATTGTCAAATAAAGATAGTTTCCTACTAGCATAAATAGAGACCTCCTACCACAACTTTGTATCAAGCAAAGCAAGCAAATTTGAGTTGTTCGAATAAAAGAGTCCTTCCCCCTTTTCAATCATCTCTTCTGTATTACTCCGTATTTTTAATCTAGTCTCCCAATTTCTCAAACCTTCCTTTAATTATTTCCAACAGTGGTATTAGAGCCCATTTGGTCATCACCAAAAAATGGCCAGCCCCGTTCAATTAAGTTCCTTCAGTAATAAAGGAGCATTCGCATTAAGGCGATATTTGATACAAAAGATGTGTGGGATATGGTAGAGGAAGGCTTCATGGAACCCAAGTTCCTTCACTAGAAATCATCAAAAGCAATTATCAGCTGAAAAACCTTCTTCTCCATCAGAACAAATTGGACCCTTCAGCAATTATCAGATGATGTACAATGCCAATCAGAATGTCACACTTCAAGGAAAGGGTTGAACCATCATCAACAACATCACACAAAGATTGTTAGGATCACATTGTACTGAAGATAGATTTTGATGATGTCTACAACAGTGAGATATTTCAAACAAACAAAGAATCCTAGCACATCTATTTCTCCATGCAAGATCTTGAATGTTGAACAACCTTGAACAAGGAGTGTTTATGCCAGAAAGCTTAAAGGTATTCCTCCTCAACAAATTGAAAATCAATTGGTATCATCATTTGGTATCAATTAAAGGTTATTTAAGTCAGGGGGAACTACACTAAAGTTCAAGGCAAACTTCACTACATTCATCTTGCTTTATGAGAAGATTATCACAGGTTGAGGGGGAACTTCTTACCTCAACAAAAACTCAAAAAGTGGACTCTGATTAAACAGGAGCATCCTACTATTTTGTAGAGTCTTATTTTTATTAGGAGCTCCTTGCTCCCATGCAGCGTCCTAGTAAAAATAGGAGCTACCTACTAACTAGTAGTGTCCAAATTTAGGAGCACCCTGTTAAATAACTACTTCTTGCTAAAAACAGTGTCCTAAGAATGTCCATTCTGAGTAACAAGTCAAAATGACTCAATCATCAAAAACACAGGGGGATTGTTCAAACAATGCTTCAAGTGGATACAAACATAATGAAAAGAAAGCATAAGCAAACTCTCAATCAAAGGGCTTAACTATGCCTAAAGGATTTCTTGAGCTACAAAGAACTGTTTGCTAAAATGCTACATAATCTTTCAAGAGTTTCTAGGCCTCATTACAACTAATCAACTCCAATTGACGAAGTCCAGAAAATAGATGACTTGACTAGCTCTGAGGATCAGGCGGGAGCTCGTATTTTCTATTATGCGGATCTTTTCGGGATTCCCCATTTGCGTTATTAGAGTTGGTTTCATGTATCTAGTGGGTCAGGCCTAGCCCCCTCAGTAGTTTTTCTTCTTTTCTCTTTCCGTTCTATTTTTTGGCATGTATTTTGAGAAGGAATGCCTTCTCTAGAGAGGTTTTAGTATAATCCCCCTCTCATTTTGTATTCATTCTCTTTATCATTAATAAAATCTGGTAAATGTAAAAAAAAACAGAAAGAGCCTGTTCAAATGGAAAGATTAGTTGTATCAAGGAATCATGCTACAATCTGGAAACCAGGGAAAGGTATGTCTATCAAAGAGATCGGCGAGCGAAGGTATTTTCTAAATTTTAACCATGTTTTGGATATGAACCGTGTGATTGAGGATGCTCCTTGGCTTTTTGAGCGTCATTTAATTCTGTTGAAAGTGGTTCAGCCAGATGATATACCTGAATCGATGAATTTATTTGAGGCTAGCTTTTGGGTACAAGTTCATAATGCCCCTATAAAATATAGAAATTTGAGATCTGCCAGGAAAATTGGTAATTTTTTAGGATCTTTCATTAAGTTTGAGATGAGCCAGTTTGATGGAAAGCAGAGTTCTTACCTTCGCATTAGGGTGTGTCTGGATGTGCGCCAACCTTTGAAGAAAGGTACCACTTTGACACAAGATGGGGTGAAACATTGGGTTGATTTTAAATACGAAAAGCTCCCTAGCTTTTGTTTTATTTGCGGTATAATCGGACATTCTGATAAATTCTGTCCAATGAAGTATGAAGAGGGCTTTGTAGCTGAAAAAACCTATGGGGTGGGACTTAGAGCGGGAGGAAGGGCGAAGACTAGCCCGACAGGAGACAATAAATGGTTATCTGATGGAGCCTCTAGCTCATATGGGTATGGAGTGTAGCGGAAGGCTGATCTCGGGGGAGAGTTTTCGACAGAGTCCAAGTTTAGCAGGCCAGCACAGAACGAGAAGGAGGACAAGGATGAGACTCTTGGAGATACAAAACACAGAAGGATATGGGATAATCAGTCCAAAGAGGATATCACTGGTGAAGGAATGGCTCTGGAGGGGTCAAAAAATGGGGAGGCGGCGGGTCAAGGCTCTTAGACTCGCCGTGTTTTCATATGCTGGTGGTGGTGAAGAAATCCAGTGATGGTGTTATTTTTATTGTCTGTTTTGTTTACTTTTATTTCGGATGCTATGTTCTGTTTTCTTTGTGTGTTCTGGTTTCTTGTAAGACTCTTGCATTAGGTTTGGGGGAGGGAAAGTCTGTTTTAACCATCATTGGCTTTAAGTTGCCCAATTTTGGTCTAGCGAGTTATACTGCTTTATTACAGGTGGTTAACTCTCAGTCTCGGCCACGGGCGGATGGTTATAAGTGGCTCTTCTCTAGTTCTGTACCCTTGCTGAATGCTATTTCTATGAATTAATCCCTCTTCGAGCAAAAAAAGGAATCATGCTACAAGTCACCAGAAATTCTAGGAAGAAGCAAAGAAGAAGGAGCAAGCTGATTTCTCAGCCAAATCAAATTTTGCAAAAAAATCAGCTGCCTGCCGAAAACACCAACGAGCCAGCTCCCAGTTTTATTCAAGTGTGGAACATCTCAAATGTTTCAAATAACATGAAAATATTCAAGATTGAGCTATCTGAATTACAAGAATATCTTTGGATATCAAATTCATCAAGATTTACAGATAATGATCAAACATTATAGATCAAAGTTGATCTAAGAAATTTCCTGAAAAAAATAAATGGGGGAGTACTTGTCCGAATTCAGCCATGCAAAAGGAATTTATCTTGATTACATCAAATGATTGCTGACATTCAATGATGGTGTTACATTTATGAGTCTGAAAAGAAGATTGTCTTTGATCAAATCAAAGAAGTAAGGCAAAAGGAATTTATTACAACATGCAGCATGCAAGATCGACACATGGTGATCATTGATCAAGCAGCTGACTCAAAGGATTTCTAAGCAACCTTATAAATAAGACCCGTGAGTTTATATAACAATTTTTCTCTCACTCTCTTATCGTCGTTGCTAATCATGAAAAGAGAACCAGCCGCAAAATCATTAATGCAAAGTATAAGCGCTTTGATTACTTCCCAACAAGTAATTGAAACTTGAACAATTGCATCCCAATATAAATATCCCTCTTGCCTAACATATCTCACGACTCATCACATAGTTATCTTCCTCAAAACTTCATTAAGAATCACAATCCTCTTCATTGATCTTTCATTGGCTCCTCCACAGCCTACTTACAAGAAAAGATCATCCCTGACTCAAGGACAAGAAGATTTCATGATTGATCTTGAGTCATGGATGCTTTTTAGAGCAGAAAAAGAATCTCTAGATAAAGAGCTACAAAGAGTTCAAGAATGGAAGGCCTGAAGACTAGCACCACTCAACCTTCTTCTCTTCGCTGCACCAATTGTTAAAGAAGAAGAAAGCTTTGCACTCAGCTGTGTTGGTCCCGGTTATCGAGGTAACAGTCTAGAGGGGGGGTGAATAGACTGTTATGGTTTTTAACTTTTTCAAGCTAAGTACCAAGGTTAACAGAATAGCCCGTTCTGTTGAGAACAGACTGGCAGCGGAGGTCTTCTGGTAGAGGGTTCTGTCGGGATAGCCTCACAGAGATGCAAAGGCACTAGGCCTTCTGTTAACTCTCAAGAGGTGTTCTGCTGAACACAGATACCACTTCTGTGGAGTTAAGCAGTTAAGGAATAATTAAAAGGCAGAAAGTAAATGACACCAGGGATTGTTATAGTGGTTTAAGGAACAACTCGTTCCTCTAATCCATTGTTCCACTAAACTTCTAATAAACCAATTACAACACTTAAGTCCCAGCACTTAAGAAGCTCTCCACGTCTTCTTCAAGTGTAGATGTCTTCTGGGATGCCCTTCCTTGCTTCCTTTAAGACTGGTCTTGTTTCACTGAGTCTCCTTGAAGTATCACCACTTCACTACTCCAGCTACTTTAAGACACCCTTCTTTGCAGAAGATGTTCTGTAGAAAAACAGAGTTTTTCTCCAACTTGCTTCGTCACAAAAGGTTTGTAAATGAAGTATTTGAAGTTGTTGAAGAACTGGAGGAACTTGCTCTTGTTGGAGTAGAAGGATATATGAGATTATGATCTTTCCAACGTAAGCTTTTTCTTGTTGATGAAGATGGAGTTTGAATCTCAAGAAAGCTTTTTGAAGATGTAGAGTGAGCAAAAGTTATCCGGTTGTTCTTCATCATGTATCTTTTATACTAGGGTTGTCTTCCCGTTGGAGGAGGAGACAACTGCATTGAATGCACGTACTGTTGAGTTGACTGGTTGGGCCCGCAAGTTTGGCGGCTTGCTATTTTGAAATATGCTTTCCACGAATCTCGGTCAATCATCAGCTTTAACTCTTTTAGAGTGTAGAGCTCATTCAATGAGCATTAAATGCTGTCCTGTAGCATTTCCGTTGAGTATGAGCTAGCCGTTGAGGGAATCTTCCGTTGAGGTAGCCGGCTAAGCTTGCATGAGAATTTGACAAGTGTGAGGACTTTTGTTGCCGAGTTCAGAGAGGCAGATTACAGAGGGCCTTGAGCATTACTGTACAGAAGGGGTCCAACAGAGAACCTAGATCACTTCTGTAGAAACCGAGTACAGCAGAGGGCCTAGAGGTCTTCTGTCAGTCGATTACTTCTAGAATGCTTACACTTAGAAAAATTCTAATACATCAATTCTAATGGGGGTACTCTAAAGTTCTAATTAGTCTAGCATCATCAAAATCTAAATACATTTATTCCTTACAAGTTGGTTGAAGACAAAAACTGTTGAAATCTCACTCTCCAAAGAGATTATCAACAGAGTCTACAATGCAAAGCTTGAAGAACTTAAACATGCAGATGAAAGAAGAAGAAAAAGGAAAGCAGTCAAGAACTTTCTGCCTGGAGAGTCATCCGACAGAAAGCACCTATAATAGGTGTTTGTTGCTGCCAAAAAGGGGGGAAATAGAACAAAAACACTTAGGTCTTTTAACGATGTTTTTACTTCTTAAAGTGTTTTTGTTTCCAGTTTTTGGCATCATCAAACGGGGGGAAATTATTGGGCCCCCTGATTTTGATGATTAATATATTTAGTTTTGATGATGCCAAAACCCCTTTTTATTATCCCTGTATTAGACTAGATTATCTTGTACTTGTTCTACTTTGTTTATTGTAATGTGCTACTATATTTAGTCATAAAGTACTCAAGAAAAACAGAGAGTACTGAAAAGAGAATAAACGTACCAAAACCAAAAAGAAAAGTGATAAAAAAAAAGGTACGAAAAGAGTCAACTGAAACCATTTGAAGAAATCGACAACCATTTGAAAACCATAAGGAGTAGCCTATTGAAAAGATTTTAGTTGTCTCCTACCTTAGTTTCCCAGGCAAGGCAATCAAAACTGACTAACTCTTCTCTTAGCACAAAAACAAATTAAACAAAAGACCAACTTGGAGCCAAATTAAAATGACAAAAAGATAGAAAATAATTTTATGAAATTTTTTTACCACATCATGAAAAATTTCGTATAAATTTATTTTACTAAAAGCAAGTAATTTTATTGTAAGGAAGCATTGAACAACACTCAACTTTTATACTCATTTCTTCGAACAAAAAGAAATTAAAAGATATTACATCTTTATCTCTACATTGAAATGCGGAAACAAGTTGTAGTGAAGATAATGATCTGTGTCACAAGAAGACATAGACCAACCATGCTCTCCTTCAGTCAAGTAGAACAAAGCAAGTGGATCAAGCAACGGTCAAGATTGATCTCCTCAGCCAACGATCGAGATTCAACACCGAGTCTATAAATACAGAAGGAGTGCGGGAAGAACAAGTGGAGAAGCCAAGTGGAATAGAAGGGAATCAAGATATACAAGAACACATCTAGCAAACAAGTGTTGATTCCCCTTCACCACTTCGGTTTCCACCCCACTCATCTAATGCTCTTAGACTAGCTCAAATTCATAAAAATCTATAGAGCTTAATTAGTTGGCAGTTTAGTTTTCACCCATGTAAACTAGACTAGTGTTAGACATTCTTGAGGGTTTTGTGTTCAAATCCAGAAGGTGAGAAGGGCAAGTCAATGCCATTAGTGAAAAACCTTGGAAGACTGAGTAGCTTGGAATGGTATTCAAATTCTTTATGCATTAGGTGAAATTGAATTGTGCACTAGATGAAACTGAAATGTGCATAATAAAAGGTACGATGTGATGTTATTTTGTATCTTTTATTCTGCACATTTCAGTTTCACCAAATGCACAATTCAATTTAACTTAATACAATATAATGGTCCAGATTCTTTCTCATTTCTCTTCTGGGAGTCCATTCTCACTGGAACCGCTCCCTACACACACACACAATACAATATATATATATATATATATATATATATATACACACACATATATATATATATATTGTATTGTATTGGCGAAATTTATAAATCCGAAGTAGGGATTATTATTGATTTATTGTAGAATGCTTAAAAGTAGAGATTATTTTTGTGAATTTCGTCTTTTTTATTTATTTGTTTTACCCCAGGGGGCGTCGGGGGGAGGGGGTCTGGGGTAAACTAGGATCAATCTCACTCCATTGAGAATTGAACTCGGAACCTCCATAAGGGAGAGTGAGTCGGCGACCAGCTGGGCTGGACCGCTTCCTCTACATATAACATATACATATAGGGAAATAGAGTTAAATGCATCAAAGCCCCTCATGAAATATAAATTTGACGCATTAGCCCATGTAATTTAAAAAATACAGGCGTAAAGCCTGCATGTGTTATAGTTATTCATGTGTAAAACCCCTTCTAAGAACAAATTTAATTGCCACATAAAACAAAAAATGAATAGTATTTTTGAATAATATAATTTTGAAACATTGACAAAGTTACTTGTATATTCCATTATATTTTTAAGACAAGTGATTTCAAATTGTTAAATTTGTTCTTAGAGGATTTTTGTGCATGAATAATTATTACACAGGGGTATGATGCATTTTTAAATTAGAAGAGGCTAATGTGTTGAATTTTTATATATCATCATGGGGTTTGCTGGATTAAACCTAGGGAACTAGAACAAACATACCCTTATACTATAGGTGTGGGTACATATATATGCCCTTGCTCTATTATGTGGAACAAAAAACATAAGAAATCATATATTTGGTATAAAGGTTGCGCTCATTTCCCCACTATTACTAAACAAAAGCCGATTTCCAAAAATGTGACCACATTTTTTATTTGGACAAAAATGTGATTAAGATGAGTTATATATTTGGAATAATATAAAGTGACAGTCAAATAATTATGTCACTATCCAATTTTCATATCACTGTCGAATGTCATTGCCGCCGCCCGTGTCACTGCCGCCCGTGTCACACCCGCCGACCATAGTGACACTTTCGTAGTGACATTTCTGTAGTGACATGTCCGCCCGAGCCTCCGGCCACAGTGACATTTTCGCAGTGACATCTCTGCCATCCGGTCACCATCATTGACGACAATAGTGCCACGTCGTCTTTGGCCACAGTTAAACAACGCAGTACATTTCAGAAAATCATTTGAGTGTTTTTCCGATTGAATTTTTAGCTGAAAATTGGTTGAGTAAACTAGACTTAATGAAGAAGCTAAAAAAATTTCATCAGAAAATTCCACCGGGAACCGCCCCAAATAGCGGCGGCCGGACAGAGCCTCCTATATAAGGGGTGATTTGCATTTTTTAAGGTAGTTCGTGGGCCTATTTGACCCTTTGCCGGTGGGCGTAGCTCAACTGGTAGCGAGGGAGTGCCACAAGGGTTAGGTCTCGGGTTTGAATCCCGGCAACTGCGATGAGAAGACCCAACATAGGGCCTCTGCAGGTACCGGGGACGGAATCTCACTCTCTATTTGCCAGATTGTGATTATAGTCCAATTTACATCCTCTCATCATGTCGCCCAGTCGGTGTTGGAGACCCTCAAGGATGATTTTTTTCACTTCCTAAACGTGTTTAATGCACCAAACCCCCTCGTGAAATGTAAATTCGACGTATTAGTCCCTTGTGATTTAAAAAATGCGTCAAACTCCCCTGTGTTATAATTAATCATGCCCAAACCCCACTCCAAGAACAAATTTTACAATTTTGAAATCACTTTTTGTAATAATATGGTTGAATATACAAGTAACCTTATCAAAATTTCTAAATTATACAAAAAAACACTAATCATTTTTAATTTTTTTGGAAATTAAATTTGTTTTTGAAGGGGGTTTGACGCATGATTAATTATAACACAGGAAGATTTGACGTATTTTTAAATCACAGGGAACTAATGGGCCGAATTTATATTTCACGGGGGATTTCATGCATTAAACCCCTTCCTAAACTAGTGAATCATGCAATTAATCAGGGAGAAGGGCCAAAAATGACATTACGGTTTTTAATGAATCTCGAATTGGACACTTAGGTTTTTACTGGACCAAATAAACACATACGAAGTATTAAAGCTTTTGCGTTTGATTTTTAGCCATCTACTAACTTTCCCGTTAAACGGGCGTTTCCCTGCTAAGTGCTAACAAGACCCATTCCCTGCTATTAAACCACACCCCAATAAACACATACACAAGAACCCCAATTCTTATCACTCACCTATTATTATGCAGACATATTGCTTGAAGAAACGATAGCCATGGGAGATAGTCCTTCACCATCAAGCTCTACAAAGCATCAATATTGAGCACCATCAAGCTTAGCAGCCCAATTTCACCCGTCTTTTCCAGGTATCCCTTTCTCTATCTTCAATTATCAATTCTTTAGTGCCCTTCTTTAATTCCGAAGTGATAGTGCCGACTTATGTGATTCTGGACTCCGTCCCTTTTTGCTGGATCAACATGCCATTGTGGGTCCAAGCCAAACATTAATGAAGATAGGAGTGTAGGATACAGGAGGTATCACCTTAACCTTTCTTTGTTTGGGAAACACAAATCATCCTCCCTTGATTCAGTCAAGTTTCAAAGCAATATTGAGCACCAATATTCTGGACGGGCGAGATATGGTAAATGTAGGGACCCGAATGGAATCCGTGTGAAAGCTCCACTCTGGACTTCATGGATTGATACGAATCCAGGGAGACGGTTCTATGGTTACCCGTATTATGAGTTATTTGAATTTGAAATTTTAAAAATTGTGTCATTCACCCCATTTGATGTATTTTCATATTTGTGTCTATAGAAGGATGGATGTGGATTCTTTGAATGGCATGATGAGCATGTGACAGATAAGGCCAAACATGTTATCAATGATCTAAAAAGGGGGAACAGAAGACTTCACAATACAATATTGGGACCGGAGGAGGCCATACGTGCAGGGGAGGCCATATGTGCAGGGGAGGAGTTTGATGAAACACCATTCTTGGGATATGATGATACCTTAAAACAAAAACTAGAGTTTAAAGTTGAAGAGCTTAACCATACTAAAGCTGCAGAGCATCTGGAATTGGAGAGAGGAGCGAAATTAAAAAGGAACTATGTGATTGTAGACTTTGTAGTGTTGTTGTGTGTCCTTGCTGTCTTGTTATGTATGCTTTTAATTTAGTCTTGTAAAATGCTTTCTATTGTACTTGGTTTACTTTTGGTATATGATATAACTTGGTTTTTTGGAATTCAATTGTGAGAATAGATGGGTGTGTTTGCTTTCTTATAATTTGGTTATATCATTCCCGAGTGGTAATGAATGTGGAGCAAGATGTAAAGTATAAAAATGGCAGGTGGTGTTTAACTCAACGAGGAATTGGGGCTTCCAATGTGATTCATCTAAAATCTTAAATCTTGAGCAATTAAATCTAAAATCGTTCCATAAAAAATCACAATACTTTAACTCTATAATCTCACTGAAGCATCTTACATAACACTAGACTAGCGCCTTATTCCCAAATTCGCTCTTTTTTGCATCTGAGTGGTTAAAACATTTAATTGTATTCTAAATTTCACTCTAAATAAAATCTCAGACTATAGACTTAACTTCATCTTTTGTAGTCTTTTGGATTGGTGTTTGTCATCTTAATACTTATTTCCCCTACAATAATCCCTAGCGGGAAGGACTAACATATACTCCCACAATACTATTCACCCATATGCATATTCCAAAATGGCTCGATTCAGATTGGACAGTGTTTGATGTCATTCTTTAAGTGAATTGGGTTGTCATTATTTAAGTTCTCATGTCTGCATAGAGAACTCATATATTTCCACTGGGGATGAGTATGGCATTGCTTATGGTCGGCCTAGCCACAACATTACCATACGCAGGGTAACTGGGTCTTCCCCATTTGCTGGAATTGCAGTGGGAATTGAAACCTCTGGAGGCATATTTGATGTTCTGGCCGAGCATATAAACTTTTTCAACATGGGTGTGGGCATCCACATAAAAACTAACACCGGTCGACAGTCAAGGAGGGAACATACGCGACATTACTGTCTCCAATGTGTACATGCAAAACACATGAACATGAATAAAGATCGCGGGTGATGTCAGTGATCACCCGGATGACAAATTCAACCCGAATGTTCTTCCCATTGTTCAGGATATCAAAATCAAGAACATATGGGTGAACATGTTCTACAACCTGGTTTGGTACACGGTATACAAAAATCTCCTTTCACTAATATCTGTTTATCTAATATCAACCTTAACGGTACCCAAGCATCACGCAATCCTCAATGGAAGTGCTCATTTGCCCCTCACCCTATTCTGAACTCGCAGCGACTATCAATCTGGAGCATCGCACACTATAAGCAAAGTTGAAAAGCTTGTAATCCCGTCATAAAGAATGAGTTAGGAATGACTACTTGGTAGCAGGGGAAACGCCCGTTTAACGGGAAAGTTAGTGGATGGCTAAAAATCAACCCAAAAGCTTCAATATGTGTTAATTTGGTCTAGTAAAACCGTAAGTGTCCAATCCGAGTTTCATTAAAAACCTTAGTGTCATTTTTGGCCCTTCTCCAATCAAGTAATCCCTAAGAAGTCTAGACTAGTTGGCTACCAAGCTTGTAAGTTTCTTCAATTTTCAAAACTTGTGGTCTTCGGCTCAGGCAGAGTACGAGAGCAGCGGCTTCAAGACTTCTGTCTTCAACTGAGTAAAGCAGGAAGCGCAAAACTTTCCGACTTCACCGTACCATACCACCACCGTACCTCCGCCACCAGCTGCAACCCCAAATCGGACTCATCGTCCATCGGGGATGGCGGATCCGGCACTCGCGGCCCCAAATCGGAGTCCGGTCATTGAGGAAAACAGATCCGGAACCGTCAGCATCAGATCGGAGACGTCGTCCATTGGAGGCGCGGCTAGCGAGGACAACAGAGAAGCTAGGGTTGTTGCTGTCATCAACGAAGCTGAAGGCGAAGGTGCAAGATGCTACCGTCGGCGAAGTTCGATTGCGGTGGAGATGGTGGTTGCCGCCTGACAGTCGTGCTTGGGAGGTGGTTGTTCAGACCAAGAGGAAGGCGGGCTAGACCTGCCGCCGAGAGGTGATGAGGACGGAACAGAGAAGTTGAATGGAGATGTTGAAAGCATGGAAGATAGCTGCAGGGATGCGTTCGAATAATTGAAAGTGAGTATTATAAAAGGTCACTTTTTTGTCATTTTTAAAAATGGTAATATTTTTGTCTAATAGAAGCGATGAAGTAATATCTATGCCATTATATCTATTTTCATAAAGGTATCCTTCCTTAACAGTTCATTAATTTTCTGTTTGGATAAAGTGAACTGAAGTAAACCTAAGTTTTAATAAAAACTAGGTTAAAATCTGGGTTCATGCATAAAATAGGGTTTGGAAATTAATAAGGTTAACCTAGGTTAATGTCATGAATGTTGATTGGATACTCTAGTTTATTTTATGTTGAACGAGAACTTAACCTCCAAAACCCCCGCTTCGGAGGTTCTTCAATTTGAGGTGTTTCTAGGTTCTCAGGAGTTATGAGGTTAAGTCATAACCTAGGTTCTTGTTGCAAAATTACAAATAAACGAGGTTAACTAAAAATTGAACCTGCAATAAACTAGGTTAACCCCAAACAAACAAGCCATAAAGGTATTTACGTTCCCGTCAATCCACAATATACTTCTGTTGAAGTATTGTAGACTTCTGTTCCTCTTTGTTCCGAATAATAGAGAAGTGAAAGCTACAAACATAGATGGTAGAGGAGGTGAAGGTCATAGAGTTGAGTTCAAGACTTGGACTCAGTCCGACCATGTAAGTAACTAACCACGGGTGAGATAAAGAAGCGAGGAGGAGACTAGAATAAGTAAGAGTGGATGTCCAACCAGAGCCATCGACGACAGATGAGTCAAACCTCAGAAAATAGAGGACAGATTCCGAGAAGATCCAACGGTGCAACTCTGTCTTTCTAACTCAAGCAATTTCACTCTTTATCTGGCTTGTGTTGGTTGGGCCTTGTTTTTCTATGTTTTTTCTTTCTTTTTTTAGAGTTAAGACTGTATTTCTGCTACTCCTTATTTTATACACTAATATTATGTGCTCACATTGAAAAAACTAATATTTCCTTCACAACACAAAAACGAAGTACAAACTCTCTCTATATATACTTAGTGGTACTATATATACTTCAACAGTCTTGGGTAGCCCCCAACTAGCATTCAATAATAGGCTCAATAGTTTTTTCATATAGGATCAGCTAGGTGCAAATATGAAAATATCATCCATTTGTATTATATTAAAAGATACATCGAAGAACGTCTCCTACCTCCATTTGATATAATCGGATTGTTGTTATACGATACAGAAGAAATAAATGTTAAAAAGAAAGAAACTTTAAATTCTGAGTATATATGTTAAAAATGTTAGGGAGGGTAAACATGTACTGTTCCAAAAAAAAAGGTATAACTGTTCTCACACTAATACTGGAGGCTGAGTATATATGTTCCTTTCTCCTATATATACATGAATCCATGTGTATGTGAATAAAATAGATGGATATATCATCTATATGATGTCACTCCATTGAATTGATCCATGAATACATATACATGAATACATATACATGTACCGTTTTTTATTAGTATCCACTAAGGTAGCTAGCTAGTTACCCTCTCAGCTCTAAGCATGCATGTAGTTATATTCTATGAAATAAAGCATTATTTATGATTCAAAACAGGAATTTGGAAATGCGACACGACACTGTATGAATGTTGAATATTCAATTTCAAGTTTCCTCTGCTAAATTAGATATTAAGACATGAAGTTTAATATCACTTTAGAAATTAACCTGAATGAGGAATATATAGTCATTATTTTATATATTGGTATGGTTTATATATTATACGTTGTTAAGTTGATGTAGGACAAATACTTGAACATGCACTAGACTAAGGTAGCTAGTAAAGATGATAATGCATGGATGATATAGCTAGTGACTAGTGTCTAATTGATGAATATGATGGAATGAAAGAATAGGGAGCATATATATTACTCGTGATCAATGATATTTAGGGGAAAAGGATGATCTGGAATCTTGCAAATCCTGGGAAATTGGGTGTTTCTTAGAATCTCAGCAACGTCTGAGTTCCTTCTTAACTCATCCCCTCCTTTCTCCCCAGAAGACAGATGACAACATACGAAGCAAAAACTTGTTTTGTGCACAGACATACTGATTGATATACAACCCTGCAGTAACCAAATGCAAACACCAATTATATTAAAGTAGTTCACTCCATATTTAGTTTAAGGATAATGTGATTGTGAATTGAACCTTATTGCCTAGATAGCCCATGATTCCGGTTCCAACACATGAAACTCGTAGATGGGCAATATGGGGAACCAACTCCTTACGTGCCCAAATGGAAAGAAAGATCCCAACCATTTGCTTGCTGGCTATGAGATTGTAGTCCAAATCACCGGAAACATGTGCATAAGCGAAGTCAACATCATCATTCATGCTGCTGGCGGGGGCATGGGGAGGACACTCGGCTGCAGCCTCGAGCTTGCGGAGCCGCCTCGGGGAGTCCAAGTGGCAGTTGCATGCCTTAAGGAGGCTGTGGTTTGCCCTAAGGTTGCGGCTAAGGACCTTGAGAGATGGCCTGTGGAAAAAATTTGATCTCACTATCCCTTCTGCCGTTGCTGCTGCTGATGATGAGTGGCTTGATTTGTTAAGTGCTTTGCTTATGAAGCCTAACCACCTCGCTGCTGGTTCATTGTCTTCAATCACTAACACGTTTCCCGCGTTCAATGGCACTATTTCCTGAAACCTGTAACCACGCACACCGTTATATTTCATTTACTACATTCGTTCTAATACAATGTTCTATATAAGGATTATAATGATCTAACGATGTGTGCTATATATATATATAGAGAGAGTGCTATTCCTGTCTGGAATTTCCGGACAGGAGCCCCGTCTGGCCTCCTCCATTTGGGGACCTTCCCGGTGGTTTTTTTGCTCAAATTTTTTGTGTATGTTCCTCATCAAGTCTAGTTCATCCATACCAAATTTGAGCAAAAAATTCAATCGGGAAGGTCGTCAAATGATTTTTGCAAGTTAACTGATCCGGAAAATACATATTCCGGACCAGTTAACTTGAAAAAATCATTTGACGATCTTCCTGATTGAATTTTTTGCTGAAATTTGGTATGGATGAACTAGACTTGATGAGGAACATACACAAAAAATTTGAGCAAAAAATACCACCGGGAAGGCCCCCAAATTGAGGAGGCCAGACGGGACTCCGGTCAGGAATTTTCGTGTCCAGCTGGCCTAACGGGAACCGCCGTTCAGCCAAGGGCATTTCGGGCAGTTCTCGGTGGAATTTTTTGATGACATTTTTTTGAGCATGTTCTTCATCAAGTCTAGTTTATCCATACCAAATTTCAGCTAAAAATTCAATCAGGAAGGCAGTCAAATAATTTTTGGAAAATAACTGCGCAGTATATACATATATGTATATATGTACATATATACAAATATAGGTGTATATATATGTGTGTGTGTGTGTGTGTGTGTGTATATATATATATATATATATATATATATATATATATATATATATATATATATATAGTGTTGTTCGAGTCAGGCAGCCTGACCGGACAGCCCCGTGCGGACTCTCGTTTGGGGGTCTTCCTGGTGGAATTTTTTGATGAAATTTTTTGAGCATATTCCTCATCAAGTCTAGTTTATCCATACCAAATTTCAGCTCAAAATTTCGATCAGGAAGGCAGTCAAATAAATTCTTGAAACATATTGGTCATTCTGCGCATATATAAAGAGCAATATGTTTCAAGAATTTATTTGACTGCCTTCCCGATCGAATTTTGAGCTGAAATTTGGTATGGATAAACTAGACTTGATGGGGGACATGCTCAAAAAATTTCATCAAAAAATTCTACCGGAAAGACCCCCAAAAGGGAAGTCCGCACGGGGCTGTCCGGTCAGGCCGCCTGACTCGAACAACACTCTATATATATATATATATATGTATATAGAGGATTATTCATGTCCCTCCCTTCCTAACCGGAGCGCCGTCCGGCCTCCTCCTTTTGGGGGGTTCTCGGTGGTATTTTTTGTGTATGTTTTTCATCAAGTCTAGTCCATCCATACCAAATTTGAGCAAAAAATTCCATCGGGAAGGCCGTGAAATGATTTTTGAAAGTTAACTGCGTTTTATATGTATATTCCGGACCAGTTAACTTTCAAAAATCATTTGACGGCCTTCCCGATGACATTTTTTGCTCAAATTTGGTATGGATGAACTAGACTTGATGAGGAACATACACAAAAAATTTGAGCAAAAAATACCACCGGGAACCTCCCCAAAAGGAGGAGGCCGGACGGCGCTCCGGTCAGGAAGGGAGGGACCGGATGATTACTCTATGTATATACATATATACATGTGTGTGTATGTATATACAAGGATAATTCCTCAAAAGGGACTAAATCAAACTTTAATTGCCAAAATATGACCATAACTTAAAAATTCCCTAAACAGGACTAAGTTTCCAATACTACCCTTGCTTTGTTTTAATACAATTCATATTTCATTTATAATAAAAATATAAAAGTAATATTATAATTTTATTTATAATAAAATGTGAATAATATTAAAACACGAAATAATTATTGAATAAAATTAATTAAAAAAATAAAAAACTTTAAAAAATATGCCGGATTATGCTGCCACCTTAGCAACCTCCCAACACCTCTAGCTCCGACCACAAAAAAAAATGCCAACATTTTTCTAAAATGTCATATTGATGGCAGTTTTTGGGAAAACGTTGACATTTTCAACGAGTAAAATATCATCTTAATGGCATTTTCAGAGAAAAATGGCAGTTTTGAAACAAAATGATATTTTTTAGCCTATCAGATGTAACTTGGCTGGGCAGTAGTTGAAACTGTGGGAGAGCCCTCCATATTTTTTAATATTTTTTAAAGTGTTTTATCTATTTTTTTTATTTATTTTTAGAGTTTTTTATTTTTTAAAATAATGTTTTTAATTTAATTATTTTAGTATTTTTTATAATTTTTACGATTTTTTGTATGAGTTAAATTATTTTTTATTGTTTTTTGTGTTTAATACAAATTAAAATATGATTATCCTATTATGTTATGGTAAGGGTATAATAGGTAGATAGGATATACTTTAGCCTTTTTTGGGAAGATAACTAAATAGTCCTATTTGTGCATTTAGGGATTAGTTTAGTTTTATTTGGGACTATTAAATATATATTGTCTTCAGGTCCGGCCATTCCTGATCGGAGCGCTGTCCGGCCTCCGGGTTTTTGGGCGATTCCCTGTATTATTTTTTGCTGAAATTTTTTGTGTACGTTCCTCATCAAGTGTAGTTTATCCATACCAAATTTAAGCTAAAAATTGAATTGGGAAGACAGTCAAATGATTTTTGGAAGATAACTGCGCCAAAACTGTACACATAAAAAGCAGTTATCTTCCAAAAATCATTTGACTGCCTTCCCGATTGAATTTTTATCTGAAATTTGATATGTACAAACTAGACTTGATGAGGAACATTCACAAAACGCGGATGCCGGACGGTGCTCCAGTCACGAACGGCTAGACCTGAATATGTGTGTGTGTATATTGTGTGCATAGACAAAACACACATACAAAACACATGCATACCCGAGGACATAAATGTCGGGGGCGTCTTCCACTTGCAAAAAATCTTCCAGGTTGAGTCCATGATTGGGAGTCTTTCCACCCAAATTCCATGTTGCAACAAAAACCCTATAATTCCTATATGTGTTGATAGTAGTATGTCACAGTTAATTAATAACTTGTAAGTATGTAGAATTTGATTAGATAACATTGGTTAGTGTTAAGGTTTCGAGCCATTTCCATCTTCCAATGCATGTATCTATACCTCAAATCTTTTACTTTGGCTGTTGGGCTGATGGTCCCACTAACTTTTGTGCCTTCCTCTGCTTCATCACTTATCTTTGCGCTGCTATGCCTTTCTGTGAGCAGTGAACAATATATATATATATGTGTGTGTGTGTGTGAAAACTTCTAATCAACACCCTTGATTTATGGAATCAACGGTTAGAATTAATAAGGTGACAATTTTGTAATAACTCTACAATAATTAATTATAAAAAAGACCCCATTTGAATTTCCATTAATTACACAAAGTACCCCGTATGCATCCTTCCAATGATTGAATTAAATAAAAGGTTGTGATTAAAAGTTCTCATTATAACTATTTCTCATTTTAAAGGTCGTTCTCATTAGAACCCTCTCATATATATATATATATATATATATATATATATATATATATATATAGGATCAAGTGAGAAAACAATCTTAGGAGAGAAATGAGAAAGAATTATATAGCCACTAGATCTTGAAGTTTTTAAAATTTTCGGCTACCTTTTATTAAGAGCAAATAAGAGAATTTTACATCCTATTAAAGTTGCACAATTATTTCCGTAGAATCATGGGATTGTTTCCATAACTGTTTTCCCTACAATCTTGCAAGGCCAACCATATGTCCTTTTTATTGCTTTACGGTTCTCTGCATACTTCTTTATCAAATTAATTTGGTAGATTCTATGGTACCCATAAGGTACCATACCTTTGTCCATATGACCAATGAGAAAGTAGCAGTTGAATTATTTAAATCTAAATTAAAAATGATAAAGTGATGTGGGCCAATCAAATGAATGATAGGTACGGTACCCCATATTTTAGAAAGGTACCGGAGTTGTCACCAATTAATTTTCATTTGTTTTAGCCATTTGATTCTCAAATTTGGAAGACATATCCCTTTTTCATGCTAAAATAAATCGTGATCATTTTATCATTTTATGTTTTAATATATCCTGTGTGTTATTTATTAATTATTTTTCTTTTGTTTTTCTTATGTTTACCCATATCTTATGTCTAGTTTTTGTATTCCTCATTCTATTTACTTTTATTTATCTATTTTTGGGATTTTCATATTTATAACAAAGATATAGTCACATGTGATTAGAGTTGGTTTCATGTTTAATGTTCACAACAACTCATATGTAAGAGCACAACATAATTTAGATTACTTTGATGCACTTATTATACGTTGTTCGTGCACTTTTTTATTATTTTATTTATCTTTTGTGCATACAAGTGACACTAGAATACACCATCATAATAAAAAAATTATTATGTTTTTTTAAAAAAAAGTGCATTTCTTCTATAAAAAGTGTCAATGGAACATTTTAGAAAATGTGATATAATAATGCACTTTTGTATATATTTAAATTGCACATGATAAAAAGTGAATTTCATTTTGTAAGAAAGTGAAATATAAAGTTTTACAAAGTATGATATGATAGTGCACTTTTATTTATACTCCCTTCATCCCAAATTGTTTTGCAAAGTAAACATTTTTTGTCAACCAATAATAAAGTCAATGCCCCCTATCGATAATTAATCCAATTTTTAATAATTAAAATTTATATATTCAGAAATTACATTAAAATCTATTCAAAGTTATAAACTCCAAATTATAATATAATTAAAAATTGACATCCTATTTAAGCGAATAAAGTGAATCTCTTTGACCAAGAAAAGTCAAATTTGAAAATCAATTTGGGACCGAGGTAGTATTTAGAATTTAGAATGCACAAATTTAAGAGTTTACAGTTGTGTAGATATATTTTCATTGTGGATCAATAAAAACAAATATTAAAAAGTGCGTACATGAATGAAAAATTGAAATATAAGTGCACAAATGAGTAAGTAAGATTATAAAAATCTAGTCGAGAATATATATTATTGCAAAATTGTACATAGATGTGCATCATTGTAAGTGCACTTTACCACTTTGTTATATTATATTAAGACTCGTACAACTTTTATTATCCAAAATTGTAAATTGATTCAGGTAATTGTGCACATATATAATTAATAAGTTTAATTGAAATTGAGTGTATTAATTATTTAAAATGGGCATTTCAATAATTCAGCTAGTTCACAGTAAAAAATATGCTAATAAAGGAAAATACTAGTCCAAAAGTATATATAGGTGGTATTGCAATTTCCGTGTAAAATCCAAGATTTAGACCTTTGATTTATATCGGAATCCATCAATTTCCAATGGCTGCAATCTTGCAAACACTTCCACAACAGTTATATGGCTCCTTTATGAAACTTATACGAATGTTTCTAATTTGTTGTGGCTTTTGGAATCGAATGTTACTCCATACTATTTTAGAACTCTACAATCACGATGTGAGCTTCCGTTAGTTTGAAATTTTTGGTGAGTCTCGACTCACATTAGCTTGTCATTTTTATTTATTTATTTAGTTTTAATTTTTCTATTGACCCAAGTTTGGTAGAATATGAAGTAGGACAGAATTCACTCCCCAAGTAAATGATTCAAAAATTAAGCAAGCATTTCAAATAAACCAGGTGAAATTTATGTATGTTTTCTTTATATTTGCTAAATAAAAAAATATTTTTTTTTCCTAATATACTATAATGTTAAGACCCGGGGTTCCATCTTAAAAGTCAACCTGATAGGAGGAGTAGCCCAAAACCTTATATAGTACTCCCTCCGTCCCAGAAAATTCTTCCCACGTTCCTTTTTGGGCCGTCCCAAAAAATTCTTCCCACTTTCCTTTTTTGGACAACTTGTGTGGTTCACATTCATTTCACATTTTTCTTACACAACCACAACCACACATTTCCACTTTATTCCACTTTCTTAATCTCTGTGCCAAGTCAAAGTGGGAAGAATTTTCTGGGACGGAGGGAGTATTTTATTGTTTTTATAGTTTCCCGGACAAATACTTTATCACGCCCCCTCAGCCCGAATCGGGTTGGACAATATCGGGGTGTATAAATGAGCCAAACAGACTCTTAACAAGCTACCTTTAATCATGAGTGCTAAATAAGCAGTGAAACCACAACCGGAGTTGGCTCTGATACCATGTTAAAACCCAAGATTTCATCCTAAAATGTCAACCTGATAGGAGGAGTAGCCCAAAGCCTTATATAGTATGTTATTGTTTTTATAGCTTTCCGGTGTGGGACAAATACTTTAACATGTAAAAACTTTGATTAGGTGTTGATGTATTCCATCGGTAGTTATTTTTGTAGTCCAATCTCTCATGTGAGCTACTGAAATTATGGCATGGACCATATGTCAAAAATGCGCTATGTAAGGTGCAGAAATAGAATATTAGCTTTTAATATTTCAGGTGAATTTATTTTTAATTGATAGAATATAGAAATGACAAATAAATGGACGATATTCCCTTTAGTTTGTGGTGGTGAGAGCAAAACTGCACCAAGAAAACAAAATCACCAATGTTTGTTCACAAAAACCTTATTTTGGGTATTTTGGCACCCGTTTGTTTGCCTTAATTCCTAATTGTCAACTGTCATTCATTCCTTTACTAGATATGATGTAAAACATGCAATTTATTTCTTTCCTTTTGGGCTATGATTTGCGAACACCAAGACGATAAGTAGTGGAAATGTAGTTTTTCAGTATAATACATAGTACTTACTGAAGATCCAACAAGTTTTTCAGATTTAAAGTTTTTTTTCAGATTTAGAGGGCTTTCTTTTTTAATAATGAGAATATTTTCCTTTTTCCAGTATAACTTATATTTAAATGATTGCATATAACAATGACAAACAAACGGACAACATTGCAAAATGTTGAAGGGCCGTGTTGATTTTTAGTTTAAATCTCTTTCAATTTGATTAAAAGTTATAATGCTTTTCTATTACGAAGATTTTTCTCTCTATTTCTTCATCAAAATCACTTATGAAACTTTAACTCATTATTTAGAACTCTACAAATAAGGAGGTTGACTACCCTTTAGTTTAACTTTGTGGTGGTGAGAGGAAAACTGTAGCAAGAAAACAAAATCACCTATTTTTGTTCAGAAAACCTTACTTTGTGTATTTTTGACACCCGTTTATTTGGCTTTTATTCCTAATTGTCAACTGTCATTGTTTTCTTTTCTAGATATGATGTGAAAAATGCAATTTATTTCTTTCCTTTTGAGCTAAGATTTGCGTACACTAAGGCTATAAGTAGTTACAAAATGCGGGGTTTTCAATATAATACATAATTACATACTCAAGAGTGTGAATTGTTTGATAATAAAGTCAACAATAGAAACAATTTAAGTGAACTTGCATAAGCTTGGAACTACTAAACGATTTCTTGGTTCTCAGAGTTTTATCATTTATATATTCACACTTCCATTCTCTAATCTCACTTCGTTCAAGCTTTAGCATAGATAGCATCAATTACTACTTCTGCCTCTTGCTGGATAGTTCCACTCTATCAACACGCTTCAGTACTTCACCCTACACAAATTCTAATCACGCAATTCTAAGCTCCTTACTTTAGCTATTCTGATTTTTCTGACCTTCTCAAGATTCAACTCAAAACTCAACTAAGGCTTGTAATTTTATATTATGCGCCTTATTTTTGGTTGTTTTCTTCATCTTAGAATTAAACTATAAGTTTTCTAAGGGTTGTAGGCTACTTTAAGCCACACCACTCATGATTGTTTTTCTTGTCTCTGCAGTCTGCACCTATTGCATCTTAGTACTTTGGTATTGCCATTTTCATTACGTATAATTTATTAATCATTCTAACTTTTCTTATCCATGTTTCTGGCATCTCCTATTTGCTAATATCGGTTATTTAATAATTTCCAAGGAATCGGGTATAATTGAGAACACAGCCTCTCAATTATGTAAGTATTAACCAAGATGAAATAGAAAATGGATTGAGATTTCTATTTACTTTTGTTATAGGGTTAGGAGTGTACTTTTTTTTAGGCATGTTATGTTTCATTGCCAATCTTGGTATGTTTGTTCCTTTTCCTTATTTCATAAACTATAAGTTTTTGCTAAAAAAAAACACTTGACTTTCTGCTATAAATGTGTCCATGTATGAAACTTCTGTTTGAGGATTTTTTTTAATTAGCTAATCTGCAAAGTTAGAGCTCACTTATCATGTACCATACAAATAAGGGATTCCCAAATCTGTAATTGCATGCTTATTAGGGATGATGTAAGTCTGCCATGTTCAAATCTATCCATATGGTGCTTTTAGTATTAGGGATGAAATGCTTTCTTTCCTCTCATTTTCATTTCGAATATGCCGACTCTTTTTGCCATATTTTTGCCATATATAAAGCAAAATGACTCACTAAAATGTATGTGTTTCTTTGTTATGAAGCAATAATCAGTCCATGCAATTTTCGACGCGATTTTCGTTATGGGTCATCCGAAAACAGTCTCTCTGTACTTTTAGTACAAGGGTAAGACTGCGTGCATCCGACCCCCCTTACCCCACCGTAGGTGGGAACTTTTGCGACACTGAAGTAATGATGATGATGATGATGATGTTTGCTTCAATCCAGAGTGGTCTCCTTTAATGACTTCAAGCCTATTTGCCTATAATATTTTATTAGCAAGGTTAATACCCTTTATTAGCAAGGTTCAAAAACTCATTCTGAACAATCTCAAGACCATAGATACATAAATCGCTCAAAAACCCGCGAACTGCGTTCCGAATGCCGCGTACCCAATCGCGGTACAAAAGTGTTCCAAACGCTAATCGGATCGCATGTAAAACGCTTCACCAGTCGATCCCAATTGCTTCTCTAGTCGTTTGCCATCGCTGCCCAGGTCATTCCCAATCGCAACTGGTCTCGGCCGCGACTCCATCCCGAACGCACTAAATCGCGAACTCCGAACATTAACAATCGCAGACCTACCAATCGTGAACAGCCTCATCGTTTGATGTGCAGATAGCCTGTGCGACTTAGCCTCTTCGATTTAAGAAACTAGACAACTTAGCCTCTTCGATTTCTACTCCAGGTAATCAAAGTTACAAACTCTTCACTTGTCTCCAACTCTTCATTTCAGCGACTTCTTCTGGAATATTAATGTTTATTTTATTTTGCTTAATGTTATGTTATGACTTATTATTATTAAATTTGCTTTTTTTATTAATGTTATGACTTATGAAATCTGAAATTCAGTTTTATTTTAGTACCAAAATATAAGATACAGTGTACCGATTTACCAAACATGTGGTACAGCGTATCGAATGCGCACCGGAACGAACCTACCCCTCTCCGTACCGGACACGCAAGATTTAGCGAACCACGTTCTCGATCCTTGTTCCCATACTGAAGCGTTCTGCGAACTATGTGACTATGCTCAAGACAACCTATATATCCATCCTTATTGTGAGAGGTATTGGCCCTATGGTCCTTGGCCTTCTTTTCCAATTTACCTGGGACTTGGGCCCTTTACCATTTGGATACCACCCAGCCCATTACTCTGCTGCCTTTTCTTTTCTTTGGTGTTTCAGACCTTACCCGCGTTACCCTATTTACCTTGTTGGGCTTCCCTCTGACCCGCCTTCTTATACCCTTGTTCTGCCTTTGCCTCTTGAGTGAGCCGTTTTTTGTGTAACCCTAGTTCGAAAGCCTTCTGTTTAGAGAGAGAGGGTTTGGCTTCTTTCTAGCCTTTCTCCTTCTTCCGCTCCTCTATTCACCTCCTTCCTGTGTGTGCGCGCGCTCTGTGGGTTCTAGGGAGAGGTTTGAGAGGGTAGTTGGGTTCGGGTTTGGGTTCTGGTGCCTTTGGTGGTGGTTCCTGGTCCGGTAGGTCCTTCGTGGTAGTTGTGAGTTGTTCAGAACTCTTGGGTTTGTGTGGCTGGAAGATCTAATAACAACCTTACACCTTATCAATGGAAAGCCTTTCAACTGGGAAGGGCGGTGAAGCAGGGTGATCCACTCCCAACCCTTTTGTTTATTCTTATTTCTAAGGGCTTTTCAAGAGGCTTGAAACACAACATGAGTCTAGGAAAAATTGAGCCATTTAATTATGGAAGAGTCTAAGGAGTATAGATTTTTCATCTGGCTTTCGTAGATATCTCTTGGTGTTTATGAATGGATCTTCCAGATCACTAAAACAATTCAGAAATTTTCTGAATTCTTATTGAATATCCTGAGGCCAAAAGGTGAACCTATCCAAAAGTACATTTATTACGTCCAAGCAAGTTTCGAGAAACAGGATCAGTCATATGGAAGATATGGTGGAGATGAAGATAACCTCACTACCATTTAATATAATTACTTGGGGGCTGTATTACACAAGGGGATTCATTGTAAGGAGCTCATCCATAAATTTGATGTCAAGCTAGAGAAATAAGCATCTCTTTCGAGGGGAGACTGATTCTCATCTATCATGTACTTCACTCTATTCGTCTTCACATTACTCCAAAATATTGAGATAAGAGGTCGTTACTTTTTCTGGGGCAGAAACATCATTGGGCAGCTGCCCCCAACAAAGCCCCAATAATACTCCTTAATCCTTTAAGAAAAATATTAGCCTACTCACTTGCCCGCAACTAAAATATAAAAATGCCCCCAGTAAATTTACAGCCCAAAGCTCTTCGGTCAAAGCATAAAATAAAGCTTTTCCAACTTTTCAGTTTACACTAATACCGAAGTGAAGTAATAACAATTAAATGATTTAAATCCCTAAAAATAGAATAATTAGTTTGTAGATTCAAGAAGTGATAACATCAAGAAGAACAGGGAATAGCCAAATTCCAGAATAACAAATAGATAAGTTCACGGACTGTAGTCAAGTGTTGTTCCTGCTTAGTATGTTTTCTTTTGGACTGTTTTCAGTCCCAGACCAGACCAGACCAGACTTAAACAGACCAGACCAGACCAGACCAGACTTAAACAGACCAGACCAGACCAGACCAGACTTAAACAGACCAGACCAGACCAGACCAGACTTCCGTAGTTATAAAATACACAGAGACCAGACGTTTACCAGACCAGACCAGACCAGACCAGTTCAGACCAGACCAGACCAGACCAGACTTAAACAGACCAGACCAGACCAGCAAATTTCAGTCCAAAAGAAAACATCCTTAATGTTGTTTATCCTCAATAAAATAAATAAAGATTACAACTTATCCTAATTTATAAAAATGTTACTACGTAATATATTACTCCGATCTATTAGGTTAGTAGGTTAAATTTAAGTAATTAACAGTATAAAATTAACTATAGAATATTGTAAATAAAACTTTTATCCAAATCTAAAAATAATTGCATAATAATGTAATTAACACCTTTAAGCTAAATATTGTTAAGATATTTAGTAAAATATATTCATAAATACATGTGTTTATTATTTTACAGAGATACCACAACATTTGGGATTTATTAATAATGTACTCCCTCGGTCTCTTTTATTCAAGTCAAAGATGTTAAACTTTAACCGAATATATTTTTATACACGGTAATATTGATAATATTAAAATGTTCTTGGTTAAAAATATTATTTAAAAATATAGTTTTATTAACTCGCATAAATATACTTCGTATTAGTTAATATAGTGAAGCAAAGTTTATCAACCATGACTGAAAAAGTCAAAGATAACCAAATAAAAAGAGCAAAGGTAGTATTAGTTATACAAATAAAACTTTAATCTTACATTTTTATTATATTTAAGGGATAAATTTCTTTATAAAAAAAACTTAATTGGTAGTGGCCAATTCAAGTACAAATGTATCTAATAGTACTTGAATGCCCTAACAATTTGATTAGAATAAATAATTTGAGTAATTCGTAACCAGTTTTTGAGTTACAATTTGGTTTGTTTTATAAAAAGAGATTTATTTTAAAGAGGCAAAATCACAAATGAAACTATGATACTGTAATATACGGAGTATTACTTTTACAAGATAAGAACTCGAGAAGAATTGACCAAGTTTATTAGGTTTCTTATTATATTGTAATACACTTTATAACAATTTTTTCTATTTGATCTAATATGTTTTTTTAATGTATTTTTTCTTAATGTACTCTAGAACCCTCCCCTATACACACATGTGTGTGTAAAATAAAGATCAAATGAGAACAACGTTTAATGTGAGAACGTGAGAACACCACATTTACCCGACGTGTTGCAAAATGAAGCTTGTACATTGCCCGTATTCACATTTTAACAACATTTATCAAAATGCTATCATGCTTATTTAATATAGGCTTAATTCGACCAAATTGAAAATATGCAACAAAATAGCTCCACTGTGCACCACATTGATTTAAATGTGAGTGTTCTCACGTTCCCATGTTAAACATTGTTCTCACTGGAACCACAGTATATATATAGGGTGAGGTTGAAATAAGAAGAAGCCTTTGGTTGAGGAATGAGAATGAATCTCAGTCGTTGGATTTGACAATTTTGCAGTAAAAACAATTTATACTGCACTGAAATATGCAACCTAATTTGGTGGCATTTTCTGAAAAAATTTGTATTACTGTCGTCTTGTACAACATGAAGCAGTTTTAGTGCAACATCGTCAAATATTGGTGCAAAATGAAACAGTTCTAGGGAAACATTGCAAAATTTATATCTTACTGCAACATGAAGATATTTTTAGTTCAATATCGCAAATCTAACGGTTGAGATTCATTCTCATTTTTCGCATTAAAGACATTTCTCACTTAAACATATACTCCGTATATTATATATATATGTATATATAGACATGAATGCGTTTTTTAAGCACATACAATAATGCATCATTATTACTACATCCGTCCCTTTTTATTTAGTCGTATATGCATTCATTATACGGAGTACTACGTCTTGTATTCATTCCTTGAATCGGTTAAAACATACTACGTATGTAATGTACTCCCTAGTGTATATATACATACATACTTGCCTGAGAAACTTTTGCGCAACGTAGGCGTTTCTAGAAAAGCTTTTGAATTACTAACGCAAACTCGATCCCATTCCATTTCTGATTCCTAGCATTTTAATATTTGGGAGTCAAGTAAATAAATAAAAATTAAATAACGTCACGGCCAATACAAATTAATTAAAGTACGTGCATGATCAGGCTACATGCATTTTAATTTATAATGGCGCATTAGATATTCTAAAAGAGTGGAATAAATATATATATTTGTTAAAATAATTCATAATCGGAAGCTATATAATATATGGTACGTTCGTACCTCTTTATTGCGATCCTGCTCGGCTTTGGTGGTGGATCTGTCGTCGGCCATGGCGCATGCGGCGGTTGTTCTCTTTCGCCTTAGCTTGCAGCTCCTGCCGGCGACAGCGTCAATTATACGCTCATTTTAATGGATAATAACCTAATAAAGATTACCACCTTCTTTTTTTACAAACAAAAGATTGCCGTAATTATCTCAGGGGTTGCTAGGCCCACCCTTAATATTGCTTAATAAAATGACAAATTAATCTTTTCAATTCTTTTATTAATCAAGTTGATAAAATCTCCACATGTGAACGGACATACACCCTTCTCCTTCTATCAAATTTTAATCAATTCCTAAGCTTGACTCTACCCCGGATAATTTGGTGACATGTGGCAAATGTTTTATTTATAAAATGGCACAACTTTTACATTTTTGCACTTTTCTTTATAAAAATTATATCAAATTGAATATTTTTTATGACCCCTAATATGACACTAATATTACATTTGTAAAATTTTAAAAAAAATATTCTAATTTGGTTTGATAAGAAGTTTACTACTACTTCTGTCTCACTAACATTAGGACAAGAAGGGATGCCACGGTTTTTTTTAAAAAAAGTGAGTTTATGCGGTTGATATTGAATTGATGGAGTAAGAATAAAGTAAAAATGGTTTAACATCACACCTAATTTATCAAATTTGGTATGAGACAATCTTAGTGGGATTTCCCCCCCAAAAAATGGGACAAATAACATATGATTTCCGAGCTATGCAAATCAAGCATCAAGCAAATCCAAGCAAGATACAGAACTTGAGATACAAATCTCATAAGAAAATACAATTGAAATTTGCAGTATACATATTAATTTGACAGAAAATTCATTAAGTATGAGACGCTAATTTATAATTATAATATCAATAAAGATGTAAATATTTGGATTAAAATTTTCCGATTTTAACTGGCCTGATTTGTTTATGTCTGATCTAGTTTTATCTGATCTGATTTGATCTGATTAAGTCTAGTTTGGTCTGATTTGATTTGATCGGAAAAGAAGTTTACTACTACTTCTGTTTCACTAACATTAAGACAAGAAGGGATGCCACGGTTTAAAAAAAAAAGTGAGTTTATGCGGTTGATATTGAATTGATGGAGTAAGAATAAAGTAAAAATGGTTTAACATCACACCTAATTTATCAAATTTGGTATGAGACAATCTTAGTGGGATTTCCCAAAAAAATGGGACAAATAACATATGATTTCCGAAGACAACACCGCATGCATAGCTCAAATTAAAGAAGGCTACATCAAAGGAGATAGAACGAAGCACATATCTCCAAAGTTTTTCTCTACTCATGACCTTGAGAAAGAAGGGACAATCAACATTCAACAAATCAGATCCAGTGAAAATCCAGATGATCTCTTCACCAAATAATTACCCCCGAAGAAGTTCATGGAACTTGTACAGAAAATCGGCATGCACCGCCTTAATAATTTATGTTAATTTCAGGGGGAGTATTTGAATGCGCTGCACTCTTTTTCCCTTCATCGGGTTTTTATCCCACTGGGTTTTTCCTGATAAGGTTTTTAATGAGACAGTACATCCAAATACAACGACATTATAAGTCGTAATTTTTACTCCTTTAATTTCACACTAATTTTCACAATATATTTTTAACATAACAAATATCTATTCAAGGATGAACATTCAAGGGGGAGTGTTGTAAAATGGCTAGAATGACATGTGTGAATTGTCCATCCTTGTAATCAGGACACCTAGCTAGTTCTCATCCTTACTCATCAAACACAAGTCCTTGTAATCACACACATGGCTAGATTCAATACTGCCATCAAATCATGTAGAATCATTCCTAGATGATTCATCCCATGCCTGGCTAGTATAAATAGGGCTTGCTCAAACTCTTGTAAAGCAATTCAGATACTCAGAAATTTCAGATAGTAAGAAGTAATTTAGAAGTTTTTATCTATATATCTATCTCTTAAATTTAGTCTGGGACTCTATGCAAATGAGCCATCGTCCAGATGGGACGACAATGGCGTTAGAACTAAATTGTCTGGCTCAATGCCCATACAGCGCATTGAAAATGAACCATTGTCGTTAGAACTAAATGGCTCATTTTCAATGCCCATACAACGCATTGAAAATGAGCCATTGTCGTTAGAACTAAATGGCTCATTTTCAATTGCGTCACTTGAAAATGAGCCATTTCCGACATTCTTTAATCGGATATGCAGACGCCAGATATTTATCAGATCCTCAAAAGGCGAAATCACAAACCGGAATGATAACGTGCTGTGAAATGAAGAAGATGAAGAACAGATTTAAGAGATAGATATATTATTAATAACCTCTAAATAACTTCTTCTTTATCTCTGAGATCTCTGAATTTCTGAATTACTTGAATTAATTTACAAGACCTCATCAAGCCACTATTTATACTGGTTGAGCTTGATGATGAGTCACTTATTTGATGAGTCTACAGATTTGGTGGCAATAGCATATTAACCACCTGTTCTAACTAGGTTACAAGGATCATTACAAGGATCAGGAAAAGCTTGGTGTCCTAATGAGTATGCTCCTTATAAGGATGAATAATTCACACACATGTTATTCCCAGGATTTTACAATACTCCCCCTTGAATGTTCATCCTTCAATAGTTATTTTGTTATTATGAAAAATTAGTGTGAAAGTTAAGGGGTAAAGATTACGACATATAATGTCGTTGTATTTGGATGTACTGTCTCGTTAAAAACCTTATCAGGAAAAACTCAGTGGGATAAAAACCTGATGAAGGGAAAAAGAGTGCAGTGCATTCAAATACTCCCCCAGAAATTAACATAAATTTTGAAGGCGGTGCATGCCGATTTTCTGTACAAGTTCTGTGAACTTCTTCGGGGGTAAAGATTTGGTGAAGAGATCGGCTCGATTTTCACTTGATCTGATTTGTTGAATGTTGATCGTCCCATCTTTCTCCAGATCATGAGTAGAGAAGAATTTTGGTGATATGTGTTTTGTTCTGTCTCCTTTGATATAGCCCTCTTTAATTTGAGCTATGCATGCGGTGTTGTCTTCATAGATCACAGTCGGGTGACAAGTAATAGGCTTTATACCGCATTCATTTTGGATGTGTTGAATCATAGATCGCAGCCACACGCATTCCCTCCCGGTTTCATAAAGTGCAATTAACTCTGAATGATTTGATGATGTAGCTGTCAACGTCTATTTCATAGATCTCCACGAGATTGCGGTATTACCATAAGTAAATACGTACCCGGTTTGTGATTTTGCCTTTTGAGGATCTGATAGGTATCCAGCGTCTGCATATCCGATTAAAGAAGCTTTTGCATTGTAGTTGGGCCTTCCAGGCCTTTTATTGGCCTTTTATTGTAGTTGGGCCTTCCAGGCCCAAGCCTGGAAACCCAACCCACTTTTCTCTTATAAATACTCCCTATGAGAGCCATGTAAAGGATGGTTGATTGGAAGTTTATTATACACATATTACTTTATCTCTCTAGTTCTTCCTTCTCTCTAGATTAATACTCTATCATTTGATGCTTTTATTGAGAGCTAGAACAGATCAAGTGAGATCCTCCGATCCCAACCAATAGCACATAAGTAAACAATAATCCGTGGTTTCACTTCGGCCTTAGTAGAGGCAACATGCTACCTTTTCTTGTAGCTCATGTATACTCTTCGGCCAAAAGGAAAGAAGCCCACCCAATATTCAACTGCCAGCAAAATCTAAAACAAAAGAATAAGGTAGCAAGTTGGTCCGATGCAGCACCCTTCATCTTGGGACCACCAACGTCCAGAACATAGCAACAATAAAAAATAGGCAAGCTTCGCCCAAGCTAACTGTAGAAAAGCCAGGACACTGCCTCGGCCTACCTGAGGGAAGCATGACCTCTCAGTCCAACATCTCCTCGGCCATATGCCAGCCTAAGTTTCACCTCGGCCAAATGGGCCTCGTCCCAGAGCAGCAGGCGGCTTCTCTTCGGCCTCCACAGCTCAACGATGGAACATCAACCTCGTCTAGGACAGAGGGATGGGCAGCCCCTCGTCTAAAAGGTTTGCTAGCTAACAAACTAAGCTAAGAACCCATCGGCCAATATGCCATCGGCCGCACCACATCGGCCAACACACTTCTGCCGGCATCCACCGCCGGCTTGCAGCACATCGGCCACACATAACGGCCAAGCAAAGCTTCACTTTGTTCTGTCAGCGGAGAAAGAGTCACCTCGTCCAAGACCTTCGTCCAGAGCCCCTCGTTGGCTTGCTCACATCAGCTGGCACCTCTTCGGCCGGCACCCGCTTAAGCTGCCGCCGCTTCGGCCAACACCGCTTCGTCCTGCACCGCTTCGGTCAACGCCACCTCGGTCGGCACCGCACCGGCCGTCACCGCTTCGGCCAGCGGCACCTAATCAGCCGGCAACGCATCGGCCAAATTGTCACAGTGCTTCCCACAGAACCGACTCAGCTTATCAATACTTGGGCAAGCAAAAGGAAAAAAAAAGAGAGCAACAGCCTCGGCCGGCACCGCTTCGGTTTCAACGCCGTCGGCCGGCAACGCTTCGGCCTCAAAGCAATCAGCTATACAACGCCTCGGCCACTCCATTGCGGGGACAACAAGGCCCCATCCCGGACAGTGTCTCCCCAGCTGGACAGAGTCCTGCCCGACGAACCGCCGCATCGCCTCAGACAGCCTCTTCAGAAAAGCAGGGCGGTCTGGCGGAGAGAATCTCGGCCCCTCCCTTTGGCAATCGCAGCAGGCGGCAACCCCATGGGCCATGGCCTCTAGCTAATAAGTCGCTCCGTCTGCCTCTCCGTAGTCATCGCAAGCAACGGACGCATCGGCTGAAATAAAAGGAGGCTGAGCTAAAAATTCAAAAGCAAATCAGTTAGTGGGCCGGCTATCTGATAAAGGCTGGATTCTCTAGAGCAGGCCCAATCTTATATTTCCCTGCTTGAATTCTAAGCAGGGCAGGCTTCGGCCCAAATACAAGTAAGTGTCACAAACTTTTCCTCCTATTTTATGCATTAAATATGGAGCAAAATAGTTTTACCACTATTCAAAAAAAAATATAGTTTACTAACTATTCAAAAGAAAAACAAAATAATTATTATTATTATTATTACTATTATTATTATCACCACCATTGCTAGCGGATTAAAATCCCCAATTGGTGCGGGCCAAAACCCCAACCTCCCGAAAATCTTTATTTGATAATTCGGATTTTATTTGGGTCCCTTGACCTATCCCGGTCATCTTTATTTGATGACCCG